AATCGTTTGCTGTACGGCGTGTTCGGCAATTATTTTTAAAAATGAAATATTTTAAATATAAAAAACTTTCTTATTTTAAATGGAACACCCTATATTTTTTTCAAGTTTTAGATTCAGCATGAAATTCTGAAAACAATGATACCCCATTTGCCTAATCTAATTCTAGTGGATTTGGCGTTATTCAATTTTTTTTTAAATTTCTAAATCGTTTGCTGTACGGCGTGTTGGGCAATTATTTTTAAAAATGAAATATTTTAAATATAAAAAACTTTCTTATTTTAAATGGAACACCCTATATTTTTTCAAGTTTTAGATTCAGCATGAAATTCTGTAAACCATGATACTTCATTTGCCTATTCTAATTCTAGTGGATTTGGCGTTATTCAATTTTTTTTAAATTTCTAAATCGTTTGCTGTACGGCAATTATTTTTAAAAATGAAATATTTTAAATATAAAAAACTTTCTTATTTTAAATGAAACACCCTATATTTTTTTCAAGTTTTAGATTCAGCATGAAATTCTGTAAACAATGATATACCCCATTTGTCTATTCTAATTCTAGTGGATTTGGCGTTATTCAATTTTTTCTAAATTTCTAAATCGTTTGCTGTACGGCGAGTTCGGCAATTATTTTTAAAAATGAAATATTTTAAATATAAAAAACTTTCTTATTTTAAATAGAACACCCTATATTTTTTTCAAGTTTTAGATTCAGCATGAAATTCTGTAAACAATGATACCCCATTTGTCTATTCTAATTCTAGTGGATTTGGCTTTATTCAATTTTTTCTAAATTTCTAAATCGTTTGCTGTACGGCGAGTTCGGCAATTATTTTTAAAAATGAATTATTTTAAATATAAAAAACTTTCTTATTTTAAATGGAACACCCTATATTTTTTTCAAGTTTTAGATTCAGCATGAAATTCTGTAAAGAATGATACCCCATTTGTCTATTCTAATTCTAGTGGATTTGGCGTTATTCAATTTTTTTTAAATTTCTAAATCGTTTGCTGTACGGCGTGTTGGGCAATTAGTTTTAAAAATGAAATATTTTAAATTTAAAAAACTTTCTTATTTTAAATGGAACACCCTATATTTTTTTCAAGTTTTAGATTCAGCATGAAATTCTGAAAACAATGATACCCCATTTGCCTAATCTAATTCTAGTGGATTTGGCGTTATTCAATTTTTTTTAAATTTCTAAATCGTTTGCTGTACGGCGTGTTGGGCAATTATTTTTAAAAATGAAATATTTTAAATTTAAAAAACTTTCTTATTTTAAATGGAACACCCTATACGTTTTTCAAGTTTTAGATTCAGCATGAAATTCTGTAAACAATGATACCCCATTTGCCTATTCTAACTCTAGTGGATTTGGCGTTATTCAATTTTTTCTAAATTTCTAAATCGTTTGCTGTACGGCGTGTTCGGCAATTATTTTTAAAAATGAAATATTTTAAATTTAAAAAACTTTCTTATTTTAAATGGAACACCCTATATTTTTTTCAAGTTTTAGATTCAGCATGAAATTCTGTAAAGAATGATACCCCATTTGCCTAATCTAATTCTAGTGGATTTGGCGTTATTCAATTTTTTTTAAATTTCTAAATCGTTTGCTGTACGGCGTGTTGGGCAATTATTTTTAAAAATGAAATATTTTAAATTTAAAAAACTTTCTTATTTTAAATGGAACACCCTATATTTTTTTCAAGTTTTAGATTCAGCATGAAATTCTGTAAACAATGATACCCCATTTGCCTATTCTAATTCTAGTGGATTTGGCGTTATTCAATTTTTTCTAAATTTCTAAATCGTTTGCTGTACGGCGTGTTGGGCAATTATTTTTAAAAATGAAATATTTTAAATTTAAAAAAATTTCTTATTTTAAATGAAACACCCTATATTTTTTTCAAGTTTTAGATTCAGCATGAAATTCTGTAAACAATGATACCCCATTTGCCTATTCAAATTCTAGTGGATTTGGCGTTATTCAATTTTTTCTAAATTTCTAAATCGTTTGCTGTACGGCGTGTTCGGCAATTATTTTTAAAAATGAAATATTTTAAATATAAAAAACTTTCTTATTTTAAATGGAACACCCTATATTTTTTTCAAGTTTTAGATTCAGCATGAAATTCTGAAAACAATGATACCCCATTTGCCTAATCTAATTCTAGTGGATTTGGCGTTATTCAATTTTTTTTTAAATTTCTAAATCGTTTGCTGTACGGCGTGTTGGGCAATTATTTTTAAAAATGAAATATTTTAAATATAAAAAACTTTCTTATTTTAAATGGAACACCCTATATTTTTTCAAGTTTTAGATTCAGCATGAAATTCTGTAAACCATGATACTTCATTTGCCTATTCTAATTCTAGTGGATTTGGCGTTATTCAATTTTTTTTAAATTTCTAAATCGTTTGCTGTACGGCAATTATTTTTAAAAATGAAATATTTTAAATATAAAAAACTTTCTTATTTTAAATGAAACACCCTATATTTTTTTCAAGTTTTAGATTCAGCATGAAATTCTGTAAACAATGATATACCCCATTTGTCTATTCTAATTCTAGTGGATTTGGCGTTATTCAATTTTTTCTAAATTTCTAAATCGTTTGCTGTACGGCGAGTTCGGCAATTATTTTTAAAAATGAAATATTTTAAATATAAAAAACTTTCTTATTTTAAATAGAACACCCTATATTTTTTTCAAGTTTTAGATTCAGCATGAAATTCTGTAAACAATGATACCCCATTTGTCTATTCTAATTCTAGTGGATTTGGCTTTATTCAATTTTTTCTAAATTTCTAAATCGTTTGCTGTACGGCGAGTTCGGCAATTATTTTTAAAAATGAATTATTTTAAATATAAAAAACTTTCTTATTTTAAATGGAACACCCTATATTTTTTTCAAGTTTTAGATTCAGCATGAAATTCTGTAAAGAATGATACCCCATTTGTCTATTCTAATTCTAGTGGATTTGGCGTTATTCAATTTTTTTTAAATTTCTAAATCGTTTGCTGTACGGCGTGTTGGGCAATTAGTTTTAAAAATGAAATATTTTAAATTTAAAAAACTTTCTTATTTTAAATGGAACACCCTATATTTTTTTCAAGTTTTAGATTCAGCATGAAATTCTGAAAACAATGATACCCCATTTGCCTAATCTAATTCTAGTGGATTTGGCGTTATTCAATTTTTTTTAAATTTCTAAATCGTTTGCTGTACGGCGTGTTGGGCAATTATTTTTAAAAATGAAATATTTTAAATTTAAAAAACTTTCTTATTTTAAATGGAACACCCTATACGTTTTTCAAGTTTTAGATTCAGCATGAAATTCTGTAAACAATGATACCCCATTTGCCTATTCTAACTCTAGTGGATTTGGCGTTATTCAATTTTTTCTAAATTTCTAAATCGTTTGCTGTACGGCGTGTTCGGCAATTATTTTTAAAAATGAAATATTTTAAATTTAAAAAACTTTCTTATTTTAAATGGAACACCCTATATTTTTTTCAAGTTTTAGATTCAGCATGAAATTCTGTAAAGAATGATACCCCATTTGCCTAATCTAATTCTAGTGGATTTGGCGTTATTCAATTTTTTTTAAATTTCTAAATCGTTTGCTGTACGGCGTGTTGGGCAATTATTTTTAAAAATGAAATATTTTAAATTTAAAAAACTTTCTTATTTTAAATGGAACACCCTATATTTTTTTCAAGTTTTAGATTCAGCATGAAATTCTGTAAACAATGATACCCCATTTGCCTATTCTAATTCTAGTGGATTTGGCGTTATTCAATTTTTTCTAAATTTCTAAATCGTTTGCTGTACGGCGTGTTGGGCAATTATTTTTAAAAATGAAATATTTTAAATTTAAAAAAATTTCTTATTTTAAATGGAACACCCTATATTTTTTTCAAGTTTTAGATTCAGCATGAAATTCTGTAAACAATGATACCCCATTTGCCTATTCAAATTCTAGTGGATTTGGCGTTATTCAATTTTTTCTAAATTTCTAAATCGTTTGCTGTACGGCGTGTTGGGCAATTATTTTTAAAAATGAAATATTTTAAATTTAAAAAACTTTCTTATTTTAAATGGAACACCCTATATTTTTTTCAAGTTTTAGATTCAGCATGAAATTCTGAAAACAATGATACACCATTTGCCTAATCTAATTCTAGTGGATTTGGCGTTATTCCATTTTTTTTAAATTTCTAAATCGTTTGCTGTACGGCGTGTTGGGCAATTATTTTTAAAAATGAAATATTTTAAATTTAAAAAACTTTCTTATTTTAAATGGAACACCTTATATTTTTTTCAAGTTTTAGATTCAGCATGAAATTCTGTAAAGAATGATACCCCATTTGCCTATTCTAATTCTAGTGGATTTGGCGTTATTCAATTTTTTCTAAATTTCTAAATCGTTTGCTGTACGGCGTGTTCGGAAATTATTTTTAAAAATGACGATTCCTATTGGTGAACCAGTGCGAGTTACACAAAAAAATCTGAAGCAGTTTCGAAGAGCATGAAATTCCCCACAAGGTCTATAAAACCGATTTGCATCATTGTAAAAGTTGGGCAAGCATTGGAAATTAAAAAAAAAAAAAAAAAAAAAAAAAAAAAAAAAAAAAAAAAACATGCATTTTAAATGGTAAAACTTTAAATTTAAATAGTAAGTACTTAAAATTGATATTAAGAGCTCAAACTTGGTGAGAATTTTTTTTTCTATAATGTAGATTAATATTTTGCTTGAGCACCGAAAAAACAAAAAACTTTGCGGAAATGAATCACCCTACATATTTCGGGCGCATTTCAGATTTAGGCCTGGTAAAACTGACAACGTTTTTTATATATTAATACAGCACTAAATCTAGACACCATAATTTTTCCCCATTTAGATAATTTCCTATTTATTACCTTCCACGCCATCCCTATAACAACACCACTTAAAAAAGCCACTCTGTATAGCTTTCCGTTTATTCTTTATAGGTACGATTCGCTGAAAAAGAAGATCTCTGCGAGGTCCACCCCATGGTCCAATGGTCGTACGCTTATCGAAACGCGAGAAAAGGACCTTGGGAGGAGTACGCCAGAGATAGAGAACGATTTTCTAAAAGAATTAAACACACTGAAAAAATTCTAGGTCCGATTTTCGATCAACGGCATAGAGACAATGTGTACAGAGAAAGATTTAACGATAATGTTTAATATAATCATTACTTATTAGGGGTTATTTATGCGATTTATTTTTCAATGCAAAAAAACAAGAGATTCGGTTTGGATTGTGACAGAAATTGGGTATGAATCTAGATGACAAAAGTATCTACAATTTAGGAGCTGTTTGTAAATATATTCAACTCAAATTTGCTGTTACTATTTTTACTATTTAACTGGGAGACTATTTTCAAATGTGAGAGAAATTAATGCTTTATCAAGAAGCTCCAAAAAGTAGTCAGTGGCTTTCAAAATACTATTTCTATAGATTGATCAATTATCTATTTCTACTCTGAAAAAAAGTCCCCTAGTGCCTAGTTATGTTAAATCGAACGCATTGATCTACAGAGTGTTTAAAGATAAATGCGATAAAAGTAATTTAAACCATTTTGTTTTTGCAATTAAAATTAATTGAAAAGAATCCGCTACTTTTAAACACTCTGTATATATTTTAATCGCCATTTCCAATTATTTGATTTGCGGTATGACAAATATGTGCCACTGAAATCGTTTTAGATTTATTTTAAATAATCGCCACAATTTTTTATTAATTTTTTTTTTTAGATTTCTGACTTTAAAATTACAGTTGATGTGATTTTGTGGCATTACAAATGATGATGGAAAGTATTTTATCAATTTTATTACAATTTTTTTTTCGTCATCATCCATTAACCATAAAAATATTTGAAGTACTGCAAACCTTTCTTCGGGCTGTGATGTAATTACAAAAATTAGCATAAAAATATTTTCACATCGCTTCAATATAATCTTGATACTGTTTTTTCTGAACTGTGATATTTTATTTGACATTGTCTAACGAGATCTGAATTTTTTAAGTCATCACCTTTCACCTTTTTCTTTAAATACCGATTTGCTGATTATGATTGTGAGATAATGGTTGGGGTTATGATTGTGGGCGGTGTTATAATTGTGAGATAATGGGTGGGGTTAGGATTGTGGGCGGAATTATGGTTGTGAGATGATGAGAGGGGTTAACATTGTGGGATAGTGGGTGGGGTTATGATTGTGGGCGGGATAATAATTGTAAAATGATGGGAGGAGCTAAGATTCTGGGATGGTGGGCGGGGTTATGAATGTGAATTAATGGGTGGGGTTTTGTGGAATAGTGAGCAGCATTATGATTGTGAGATGATGTGAGGGGTTAAGACTGTAGATGATGGAAGGGGATTATGATTATGAAATGTTAGGAAATACAAAAGCACAAAGAAAGTTTAAACTAAATCACATTATAATTTATCATTTATAATAATTACTTACCACTAATTTTTAATTATTAATTAAAAATATGATCGAAAAACATCTATGGCTGTTAAGGTGAAAGGTTTTGTGTTTTGTTCGGATTATTTTTGAAGTATGTTGAATTTATTTAAAAGAAATATATAGTTACTTATATGATATAATAATAATAATAAAAAACGTATTTATAAACAGGTAAGTTAATTTATTCGTGTACACATTCTAGAGGTGAGTTATTTCACAGAAATCTGTCATTTTGGACGCGTTGAAATGAAATAAAAATTATATCTCAAAAAAACAGATATTTTGCCGGGAAATGTTATTAGGACGTTCTGTATATAATGAGATAAATAAAATCGTGATTTAATGAATTATATTTTGATATGAAAGTGCATGAAGACGTTAAGTAATCTTAAAAATTTTAGCTTCGTTCTAGTTGCATAAAAAAAAATAAAATAACGCATTTATTTCTATATTTTGTAAACTATGAGTCGTACGTCAAAAATTTGCCAACATTTTTTTTAGATTATTAAATTTTTTACACTTTTCATTCGAAAAATTTTTTTCTCAAATTAATATTTACAGAGTTATAGCGCGTCAAAGTTTATGAATTAAAATATTTCGATTTTGGTAAGTCCTACATAAAAATACTTTTAATAAAATTTGTAGATCATGATATTCTCTACAATTTTTGTAATTACAATTTTTTTGATATCATTAATATTTGGCCAATTATAAAATGTTTTTCCAAATATATTCCTAATGACGTCTCTAATCAAAAAAAGCATAATTACCTTTTTTGTAGACAATAAAATTTTGAACATTTCTTGTATGAAACACTTTTTTGCAAAATTATTATTCATGGAGTTATTACGATTTTAAAATTTTCAAAATTTAATTTTTTTAAATATAACATCCAAAAATTAATTTTATGAAAGAAATGTGAAATAAACAAATTTTTTATAATTTTTATTCGAAAAACTTTTTTCGCAAATTAATATTTTCAAAGATATAGCTCGTCAAAGTCTAATGATCAAAATATTTCGATACAGGTACATTCTACATAAAAATACTTTTAATAAAACTTGTAGACCATGAGATTCTCTACAATTTTTGTAATTACAATTTTTTTGATATTAATATTTGGCCAATTATAAAATGTTTTTCCAAATATATTCCTAATGACGTCTCTAATCAAAAAAAGCATAATTACCTTTTTTGTAGACAATAAAATTTTGAACATTTCTTGTATGAAACACTTTTTTGCAAAATTATTATTCATGGAGTTATTACGATTTTAAAATTTTCAAAATTTAATTTTTTTAAATATTACATCCAAAAATTAATTTTATGAAAGAAATGTGTAATAAACAAATTTTTTTATAAATTTTATTCGAAAAACTTTTTTCGCAAATTAATATTTTCAAAGATATAGCTCGTCAAAGTCTAATGATCAAAATATTTCGATACAGGTACATTCTACATAAAAATACTTTTAATAAAACTTGTAGACCATGAGATTCTCTACAATTTTTGTAATTACAATTTTTTTGATAGCATTAATATTTGGCGAGTTGTAACATATTTTTTACAAATATATTCTTAATCAAAAAAATCATAGTTACCTTTTTTGTAGACAATAAAATTTTGAACATTTCTTGTATTAAACACTTTTTTGCAAAATTATTATTTATCGACTTATTACGATTTAAAAATTTTCAAAATTTCGTTTTTTTACAAATATATTTCTAATGACGTCTCTAATCAAAAAAAGCATAATTACCTTTTTGTAGACAATAAAATTTTGAACATTTCTTGTATGAAACACTTTTTTGCAAAATTATTATTCATGGAGTTATTACGATTTTAAAATTTTCAAAATTTAATTTTTTAAATATCGCATCCAAAAATTAATTTTATGAAAGAAATGTGTAATAAACAAATTTTTTTATAAATTTTATTCGAAAAACTTTTTTCGCAAATTAATATTTTCAAATATATAGCTCGTCAAAGTTTAATGATCAAAATATTTCGATACAGGTACATTCTACATAAAAATACTTTTAATAAAACTTGTAGACCATGAGATTCTCTACAATTTTTGTAATTACAATTTTTTTGATAGCATTAATATTTGGCGAGTTGTAACATATTTTTTACAAATATATTCTTGATCAAAGAAATCTTAATTACCTTTTTGTAGACAATAAAATTTTGAACATTTCTTGTATTAAACATTTTTTTGCAAAATTATTATTTATTGACTTATTACGATTTAAAAATTTTCAAAATTTTGTTTTTTACAAATATATTCCTAATGACGTCTCTAATCAAAAAAATCATTATTACCTTTTTTGTAGACAATAAAATTTTGAACATTTCTTGTATAAAACACTTTTTTGCAAAATTATTATTCATGGAGTTATTACGATTTAAATTATTCAAAATTTGTTTTTTTACAAATATCTCGCCTAAAAATCAATTATATGTAGAAAAATGTATAATAAACAATTTTTTTTATAATTCTTATTCGAAAATTTTTTTTGGAAAATTAATATTTTCAAAGATATAGCGCGTCAAAGTTTGTTGATCAAAATATCTTGGTACAGGTAAATTCTACATAAAAATACCTTTAATTAAAATTGTAGATCATGGGATTCTCTACAAGTTTTGTAATTACAATTTTTTTGATGTAATTACAAAAATTAGCATAAAAATATTTTCACATCGCTTCAATATAATCTTGATACTGTTTTTTCTGAACTGTGATATTTTATTTGACATTGTCTAACGAGATCTGAATTTTTTAAGTCATCACCTTTCACCTTTTTCTTTAAATACCGATTTGCTGATTATGATTGTGAGATAATGGTTGGGGTTATGATTGTGGGCGGTGTTATAATTGTGAGATAATGGGTGGGGTTAGGATTGTGGGCGGAATTATGGTTGTGAGATGATGAGAGGGGTTAACATTGTGGGATAGTGGGTGGGGTTATGATTGTGGGCGGGATAATAATTGTAAAATGATGGGAGGAGCTAAGATTCTGGGATGGTGGGCGGGGTTATGAATGTGAATTAATGGGTGGGGTTTTGTGGAATAGTGAGCAGCATTATGATTGTGAGATGATGTGAGGGGTTAAGACTGTAGATGATGGAAGGGGATTATGATTATGAAATGTTAGGAAATACAAAAGCAGAAAGAAAGTTTAAATTTCTAAATCACATTATAATTTATCAATTATAATAATTACTTACCACTAATTTTTAATTATTAATTAAAAATATGATCAAAAAACATCTCCCGACTGTTAAGGTGAAAGGTTTTGTGTTTTGTTCGGATTATTTTTGAAGTATGTTGAATTTATTTAAAAGAAATATATAGTTACTTATATGATATAATAATAATAATAAAAAAAAAACATATTTATAAACAGGTAAGTTAATTTATTCGTGTACACATTCTAGAGGTGAGTTATTTCACATAAATCTGTCATTTTGGACGCGTTGAAATGAAATAAAAATAAAAATATCTCAAAAAAACAGATATTTTGCCGGGAAATGTTATTAGGACGTTCTGTATATAATGAGATAAATAAAATCGTGATTTAATGAATTATATTTTGATATGAAAGTGCATGAAGACGTTAAGTAATCTTAAAAATTTTAGCTTCGTTCTAGTTGCATAAAAAAATAAAATAACGCGTCTATTTCTATATTTTGTAAACTATGAGTCGTACGTCAAAAATGTGCGAACATTTTTTTTAGATTATTAAATTTTTTACACTTTTCATTCGAAAAAATTTTTTTCTCAAATTAATATTTACAGAGTTATAGCGCGTCGAAGTTTATGAATTAAAATATTTCGATTTTGGTAAGTCCTACATAAAAATACTTTTAATAAAACTTGTAGATCATGATATTCTCTACAATTTTTGTAATCACTATTTTTTTGATAACATCAATATTTTGCAAGTTATTAAATGTTTTCCAAATATGTTCCCAATGACGTCTCTAATCAAAAAAATCATAAATACTTTTTTTGTAGACAATAAAATTTTGAACATTTCTTGTATAAAACACTTTTTTGCAAAATTAATATTTATGGAGTTATTACGATTTAAATTTTTCAAAATTTAGTTTTTTTACAAATATCTCGCCTAAAAATTAATTTTATGTAGGGAAATGTATAATAAACAAATTTTTTTATAATTCTTATTCAAAAATTTTTTTTTGGAAAATTAATATTTTTAAAAATATAGCGCGTCAAAGTTTATTGATCAAAATATCTCGGTATAGGTAAATTCTACATAAAAATACCTTTAATAAAAATTGTAGATCATGGGATTCTCTACAAGTTTTGTAATTATAATTTTTTTGATTGCATTAATATTTGGCGAGTTATAACATGTTTTTTACAAATATATTCTTAATGACGTCTCTAATCAAGAAAATCATAATTACCTTTTTTGTATACAATAAAATTTTGAACATTTCTTGTATTAAACACTTTTTTGCAAAATTATTATTTATAGACTTATTACGATTTAAAAATTTTCAAAATTTTGTTTTTTACAAATATATTTCTAATGACGTCTCTAATCAAAAAAATCACAATTACCTTTTTTGTAGACAATAAAATTCCACATATTTTTTGTATATAACATTTTTTTGCAAAATTATTATTTATTGACTTATTACAATTTAAAAATTTTCA